CGGACGACTGCAAATGTGCACCATACGGCGTTTGGCAGGATGACGAGGAACTCCTCGACGGTCTGTCAGACGACATGCCCTCCTGGTACGCAAAGGAGTCGGGTTACAAGACCTTCGGTGAGCTTGCTACAACGTCATGGGTGTTCCGTCGAGAAGCAGAGCCTCCAATTTTCACGGACAAGAAGGCCTTTAGGGAAACGATGCACAGCTCAGGAGTGGATCTCTGCACCACACTGTAGATATTAAGGTGCTAGGCGGTGACAACGAACAAATAGAATGGGCCTGGACCCGATATTTGCGCTTGTTAGGTGGGAGCGTACACTTCCTGGCACTCTGTCGAGCGTGGTACCTGTTACCGTTTTTTCCTTGAGTTTCATGGTCAGACATGACGCCCTTGCGTTTTCCATGTCTGGTCCTCGACTACGGAGGACGGCAGCACTCTTGGAAGTATGGCTCGTGCCGAATCACCCAAATGCTCATGCCTTTTTTCGCATTGGAGCTCCGAGAAGTCTAGGAAGGTTTGGAACCTGGGCCTCCACATGCAATGAAGACTTCCATGAAACCGTCGTGTGGGTTGGTGCATCACGGGGCAAAAAGTTGATTATTTCTCTGTTCGCTCCTACATGCACTTCCAAACTTGATGGGGGAAGCGGTATGCAGTAGGCGAAAACACGGCTGTTCCTCGTACTGCCGGTCGGTGCTGTCACCGTGTTGATGCCATGTTCGTTTTTGCCTGGGGTGGTGTGGTGCCGTCACGACCTTTGCCAAGAAAAAGCGCTTGGTCGTCCTTTTCTTGGAACGAAACTGACCGGTTGAGCGGCGCCATATTTTCGGTTTCATAGATGAACGACGTAAGCTCTTGCGTGCACGGTAGTTATCGTGCGATCAACGCTCTGCACGGCGTCTGTCACGTCGAGCACTCACCCGGTTGTGTTTGTTGTTGATTGTTCTCGTTTGACGATGCTGTTCACGCTTTTATCGATATCTCGCTTTTACACTACAACGGACGCATGATATTTGCGCCCGTCATGCTGCTCTGTCTTCTCAATTCTTGAACGTTTCGTTTTATTCTCTTGCTCCCAGGGTTCGGGCTTCGGCTAGGCAAAGATGTGGACGATCTGCAATCGATGGCGGACTTGTCGATCGAAGACAAAGGTGATGCACCAGTGTCATCTTTTCGTGTACCACCGTCTTTGTCGCCGCAAGGTTGGGGGTCAAATCAAAGGCTGGCTGGAAGTTCGCTGCCCAGAGTTCCCCCAATCTCGAAACCTTTCTGCCTGTTTGCATGCATACGATTTCGTGTACACGCACCATTGCTCTAGCAACAATAAATTCGTTGAACATGTCTCTCCGCCCTCTCTTTGAAAAATCTTAAGCACCGATTGTTGATTTTCGTACGCTGTTTTTTACTTTTGCCCCTGTTCGTCCGTCATGGCTGCCTTGTTTCGTGTCCGAATCGTGCGTCCACCAACAGTGATGGCTAGTTTCCTCACCGACGAGGCAGGCATCCTGGTGGAAACTCTGTCCGTGTTCAATGACCACGAGAGCTACATGCGAGGCCGTGAGGAGTACCATCGTGAAAGTAAGTGATGGTGCCGACTGTTGGCGTTCTGCCTTGTACTCACTTGTGCATTGCTCCTGATGGTTGCGCTCTATATACCATGCCGTAGTTGCGAAACAGTCGCGCGTGCTCTACACGTGGGTGCGGTGGCATGAGCCTCGCCCGTTCGATTCACACGGTCTTGATGTTTCCAGTGTTTTCCTGAGTGGTGAAAATCTCTCGTTGAGTATGTGAAGACATTCGCAAGCAGGCTTGTCGCATGACATGGCCGTGTGCTGTACTCTCCTACCAGAGCATACCATCAAGGGGACATTGAGAGGTTCCCGTTGCTTTTCCCAACGCAGCATCCACTGACCTTCCCTCTACTGTCTGGCAATGCCGCCCTTGTTGTCCGCTTGTGCTTGACGCGCGTCTCAATGCTACTTCTTTCCTTCCACTGCTGCGATGCACGCCACGGACCAGACGTGAAGCAAACTAGCTCAAGGCTCATGTGGTGTACGTTCATTGAAGCCGCTGTGCTGGTGTGGGTATCCTGGACCCAGCTGTCTTACATTCGCCGGTTCTTCGAGACCAAGCGCATTCTCTAGCCTGCCTTTGTACTTGTTTTCACAGCGTGGCCCCTTGTTGCTGAGGCGGTGAATTGTAGCGTGCTATGTGTCTATGTTAATATTTCTGCTCTTGTTGGATTCACATATACGCGTGCTGTAGTGCTAGTTCGTTTTCTTCAGGCGCACTCGCTCGACCTGTTCTGCTCGTGTACGGGCCGGTCCTTTCTACCCCAGCTCGTGACCATGTTGCTTGGCTAGTCTAAAAACGTTATTTGTCAAGGTCACGACTTCGCACCGGGATGCGGTCGGGGAAACTAGTCGGTCGTAGTAAGTAGAGCGTTGTGCTGAATACCGCTGACGAGATCTGGAGTCACCATCCGCAATAAGGTGTGTCCCAGCGGGGAAAAACAGATGGTGAATTGGTGCATCATTATTTCAATTTTAATCTGTCCATCATGATATCTGCATGCCGTTTGTCATCAAGGTGGCCAGTGGCAACTCCAAGGTTAGGGGCAGGGACGGGCCCACAAATTTAAGACAAACCTGATTTTGTTGGTCCAACGGTCACGTGCAGCCCTCCTTGCTCTAGGTAGCAGGCGTGTGGTTCTTGTTCGCTGTTGTTCCATACGATCAGGTCACATTGGTACGACTGCAGGCTGTGCTATGTTTACGACTGATATGCGCTCCTTGATATCTAGAGATGCAAAGATGTACTGCACCATAGCCTTTTTGTTGCGGAATACATAGACCACCAGTATTAGCGTGGGGTAAGGAAGTTTACCCGCTTTTCAGTTCCCCGTAGACGGAACCTTATCCTTTCGATGGGTTGTGCACACTCCACGCCACCAGCTCTGTGTCCTCTTTCAACCCGATGGAAAACCAATACCAACATGCACACCACGCGTCTGTTCCAAGAGACGCATATAAACTTGAGAAAGCACGGCAGCCCAGCTGGCAGCACAAGAAGTGCTACCCCAGACCTTCGCAAACCAACCGCACTGCTACAACTGTAGAGTATACTTCAAACAACCTTGCCCAGCTATGATGAGAATACCAACCTTGCCTACGGCGTCAAGTTGACTGTAGCCGGCTTCGTAACCTTGGCTCCAGATGACGAAAGTAAACGCGGGGGCATCTCCAGACGATGTATCATCGCCCCTTTTTCGAGCCGGCAACCGGTGCTGCTGAGGTGGGTTTCTGCAGTTTGATAGAACTCAAGATGACGTCAGAGTCTAGGGATTCCAAAATACCCCCGGGAATCATTTCGTCGATGACGAGGCAGGCCTTGCTGTAGATGCTGCTCGTGCCGCTGCTCGACAGGAAAGCCTGCTCTTGATCATTCACACCGTCGCGAGTTGTCATTACGGACACGCCAATGCCAAGAGAGTGAGGCACAGCATTGCGTGTAGTGGAAAGGAGCTAGCTGGAGAAAGCAACTTGGGGTGACGTACATGGACATTTGGTTCGCCCGAAGGGCCTGCGATTTGTACGACCGAGTTAACACAAAAAGTCAACAGACACAAAATACAGTAGCACATTGAGCTAGGCTCGATCGCGGTACACCCTAAATGAACGTGCATATGCACTACTACTGTAGAGCCGAACTTTTGGTTGTGTAGTCTATTGAAAATCGCACTATCGCACTGGTTTGTATATCACCGCGAGGTTTCGCTCCACGTTAGTTGCCATGATCATCGTGAGATACTACCCAGTGCAAGACACACGTGCCACACAAATCGTGCAGTCAACATGAATATCGTGTACACTACTCATTTAAGCAAACGTGAAATAGCCCCCCTGCTTTGACAAATTACACGATACTCTCGCTGCCCCATATCCAAGCCGACGTCAACTAGCCCTTGCCAAACGGAAAACAGATCGTCCTGCAGTACCCACCGTTTCCGTGGCTCTTTGGTGTTTGCCCTGTCTGCACAAGGCCACAATGACCTTCGCAAGCGTTGACAGCATGTCGGCCAAAGTAAGCTCGTCACATTCCCCAGAGCCGCACAGGAACAGGAGGAGATCTTCTACTGCTCCAAACACAATGATCAGCCCTCCCTGCCATGCGCAGTTCACCCACAAGCATTGCCGTCCCGTGTGTGGCGTGTTTGGGCAGCGCAATGAATCATGTAGTCTACACTTGGCCGTGTATGCTGGTGGTGTACGTAGTTAGTTGGTGGGCTTGGCGAGGACGAAACAAAAAAGCTGGAGCAAAACACTGGTTATTTTCCTAAAGTAACAATACTGGGACGAGGAAGGAAGCGGGAATGCGGCTGTCCATGGAGCCACCCTCGTATATTTGTACGGTGGCCATAGATAGTGGCCACCCCTGCCGTCGCAGGTTGCGGATGTTGTACCGCTGTTCGGGCTGGCTCTACGTGCTGCCTATTCAAGGCATGATCGCGTGTGAATCTCTGAGTAAGTTCCTCCAACACAGCAGGTTTATCCCAACGGATGCACGATCCACACCTTAGCCCGGGCGACCTGAGGGCACTCTGCCGTGCCCTTCGTCCATAGATGCCTCGTCTGCCCCAGCACTTCCGAAAGGGTTGCGCTTCGACCCCTGGCGGTATCTCTCAACGAACCCGCCGCCGTGTGTTCACTGCCTGAGGAGGATTCGAAAGCGCACTCTGATCCATGACTCTGTGCCTCGAAGTACCTCGACAGGAGGAGCTTCCCATCCGGGTTGCAGATGAGCACGCTGTTCATCTGTCCTGCTGGTCGAAAGCACGCCAATACTACTGCTGCTGCTGTTGCTTGTCTTGATGGTGTGGTGCGGCGCCACGGGGGTAGCTAGATGACACCAATCAAATCTTGTGTATACCGTTGTACCAACAGCGTGCCCCGCGCAGCCGGTTGCCGGTAGAAACGGAAGAGACGCCCAGCAGTGGTGCTGCGCAACGTGCGTACAACGTACAAAGCGCGTGTAGGCGTCGAACCAATAAGCTGCTGATACCGCGATATACATTGCACAAGCTCCTTGGTGGTGTGGGGGTCTGCGGCGGCAGTGCCAGCTGAAATGCTTCAAGTGAGACACGTCGTCCGCAACGGGAAAGTCATCCTCGTGTACGTTCTCGCCAGCAGCAGACGACGATGCCTGCCGACATTTGCCGCCCGGGCTCACAGCCTGAACAACAACCGGCCAGACCACAGCAATGCTAGTGGTCCAGTAGAGTCGGGCGCTTTGACCAGAACCACGAGCCCCAGCGACGACAAGCTGGCCAAGGAAACGCGCAGACGGACAGATTCTCCGGCCGAGAGCCCTACGAACGGCACCAGCAGCACTGGCAGCAACCGCGATAGCAACAGCACCAGCAATAGCAACAGGAAGTTGGTCGCAGCGGACAAGAAGAGCGCGAGGCGAAGTGTCAAGGAGCTCATCGCTCAGTTCACGAAAGGAACCAAGGTGCTTTGGCTTGACTTCAAGGGGTCGAGGCAGACCAAGGCAAAGAAAAGAGCCGGCCAGGTACTCACTTTTCAGGAGAACCGGCAGCTACGTCAGGTGAGACAGACCTACTCTGTACTGCTGTGCACCTCACCTACACACGGTTGTTGGGTGTGATGAGCACGAACGGAAGCAGGCCAGCGGCATGCCTCAACGCAAGAACCCCCCCCCCCCTCTCTATTGGGGTGCGACTCGAACCAATCCGTTTGCCACAGCAGTGCATGTGTATGTATATAGACGCCGCCCTGTCGTTCCTCGGGACTGCAGGGCTGATAGGCGCCTTCTGAGCTTCTGAGGGCTCGCCAACCACCCCAAGAACAAAAAAATTTATCCCCCCAATTGGTAGGTGCCAAGTTAGGCACGTTCATGGTTCTCGGCTTTCATCACCGGACGGGAAAGAAAGACGCAACGGAATCTGTCCCTCCCGGAGAGTGCGTTCTTCTGGTGTGGAACGTTACGTATTGTGTGTGGTCTACTCCGTAGTTTCAGTCCCATGTACAGTAACTTCACAGGGAGAGCAGGGCTACACGTGGTGCAACGCACAACACAGCAGTTGCGAGTGTAGGGCTCCGAAAGACCTTGGTGCTTTTGAAGCGTAGCACATGCAACGCACGGAAGGTACGCAGTTGCTACGGTTTGGTCTTAGTTCCCTATTCGCGTGGCGAGGAGAATATCCGAGTCACGTAGCTGTGTGTGCTGCAAGATTCGAAGATCCTCTTCGGCTAAAGTCTCATGCTCCAGTTGACGTCACAGGGATTGACAGATGCTGCTGTTGGATGCATTGTAAACCGTGGTGCGTTGGTGTTTCTCCCCCCTTGTGACTTGACCACACATGTGTCGAAACACTTCTCCAGCCCTCAAGACGAGTTGACACGAACCGTAACGAGTGTGCAACGTCTGCACCCCACTGCAGCACAAGCACCTTGTACCGCTGATGTTGTGTTTGATACGTCTACTACCAGCCGTGCTTGTCATGTGCCCAATTTTTGTATATCCGCCGGTGTTGGTCTTGTTTGCAACAGGTCGGGCGAGACCTTGCGAAGGCCTTGCCTGTCCTGACCGTGTTCTCGTTACCCATCGCGGGCTACCTGGCGCCTGCACTCGGATACATCTTCCCCAAGACGATGCTCCCTCCGCAGTTTTGGACCTCGCCCCAGAGGCTTCGGTTCATGCTTGAGGTATTTATGTAGGGGCGGGAGAGGCACCTTGCTAACGCGCAACTCGGCACGGTTCCAGAGCTGCAAAATTTTGCTGCATACTCTGCTCTGAAGCATCAGGATGTACACGACAACAATTTTGTTGCTGCGACGTGTAAAGTTAACGTGGAGACGAAGTGGTGCCAAGTCCATAATCGGGTGCTGCAGGCTGTTGAGGGCGTATTTCTGCTACTCCGTACTGACGCCTGGTGTCGTCCTAAAAAAAAACAGTCCCTGGTGCTTGCCTTTGCCCAGAAAAATACTTCGAAGACATGATTGGCAGAACCGAGATAAAGGAAGATCTGGGAGGGACGATCATAGACACGAGAGCGGTCCTGATGATATCAGCAACGTCGATGGTCGCCACAACCCTACTTGTTCTCAATGCGCTTGTTGTCGAAAGGGTGTATCGACGGACGCCCGTTTTCATAGCCCACGCCGGTACCGCCAAGCCTATCGCAGCACACCCACCCTCCTCTCAGAATGCCTGCTACTCTCTTGCTGTCGCTTTTCGTGGGGCGCTTCCCGCAGGATGCCAAGAAGCAGGAGGTCTCATCTTTCCCCAAGCTTTTGCAGCACCTGGCAATGATGGCGTCGTCTCCCCGACCCAACAGCAGCCCCGGACAGCTGCAGTTTTCGGCCACGTGAGTTGGTTGCTGTGACCGATCGCACCCCGTACACCACGACAGTGATCGCAGGAGAGAGTTGCGCGGCCCGTGGTGTGATGTATGCTGCGGCTTGGGTTGTGCGTTGCACGTAGCAGGACGGTCGTTGTCACCAACGATGCAGGAACGAGGAGACTATCCCATTGTAGTTGTCGCTCCTCTGTTTGGGGTTTCCGTCATCGGAGGGGTGTTGGGTGGCTGTGCATAACATGGGCTACAGTATTCTCATGGCGACCAGGGGCAGGGAGGGACCACATCGGCGAACGCCGCCCCTTGGGGCTGGACAGCTTTGTCCTGCGCATGCGCGCGACCTCCATCTTCCTTCTGCATGCATCACGAGGAATCTGTCCTTGGCGAAGGCTACCAAGGCCTTCTCTACTCCGGCTTTAATTACCCCCCAAGTACCTCACCCACCTGTATGAATGTGTTTTCCTCGTTCAAGGTGGTTCTGGAAGGAAGGCAACTTGAACAGATTGTCACGGGAGCACCTTTTGCAGCTAATGAAGTCTTGCAACACCGTGCCGCCATTCAAGAGGGCAACCGCCAGATTTGCTCCCAAGTCATCGCTGGTGTCCTGGCTTACCACAGAAGCCACATCGATCAGGTATCAGGATGTTGCTGTTGAACTTCGTTACCCGTACACCTACCACCGGTGGAACAGTCGGCGGCCTTGCTATTTTTAGTTTTCAAAGAAACTCGCGAAATCGGCGTTATGGGCCCGTTGGTCTTGAAACAACGCGCATGTTGTGTGTTGGTTGTGTGGCCCCTCTGGAACTGCTATCAAAGGGCTCCAAAGAACCATATGGGTGTCCCGCACAAGAGCGAGGCCAACCCCAGTTGACAAGCCTCGCCACGTTGAAGGAACAGATGCTAGGTGTGCGTTCGTCGTAGCCAAACAAGAAGAAACGACCCTTATGGACGAGTAAGGGGGTGACGATGGCGGCCACATGGGCTTGTTGCCAGGTGGGCTTGACTCAGGACACCGGTCGATAATCGCTGTAGCCTGGGCCCTGAACGGTGACTCCCCTTGTTGCTCGACTTCGTGTCGTTGTCGCTGCTCACGATGTCCTCACGTCGCAGCAACGACGATCTGGCTCTCAGAAAGCAGTTTTATGACGAAGCAAAAGCACGCATTTCCGGGCAGGAGGAAGGGTCGAAATTGAATCTGACGGCTCCGGAAGTTCTACTTCTATGCTGGGAGAGGGGGCTGTTGAGATCGCAGCACTGGCCGGACGCCCACCTGCGATGGGCAGCGGATGGTGCTACCAGTGGCAGCGCGGGTACTGCTGTCGACGAACCGATTCCAGAGGCAGAGGCGAAAGCGATGCTCGGAAGGTGAGGCGATCGATTGTCTTGCGTGGTCCATCGTGTTCGAGATTCAGGCGCTTTCAAGCACGAAAAGGGCGAGTGTACTTCCGACGTGGAAGTTCGTAGGTTGAATGCGTCTGGTCGTGGAACTTCAGTGTAGGCGCGCGGGTTGCGTTCGTTGTGTGCAAAGCATGTTGCTACTGCTGGGAGCGTACTAAGTGATGCCCTACTACGTGCAAACACTCTCGTCACTATTCATTGACGAATCCCTCTTACCCCCCCCCCCGGCCCGTCCTCCAAATGCGCGCCGCCTTCATGTTTGGCCGGACTGGGGTTGGATTTGATCGGGTTCGAATAAACGACGCGCAGCTTGAGAGCCTACCTGTCCCTCTACGATTCGCCATCCGCGACTCGGAACCTGCGGGGCCGCTCCCTGGATGATTCTGTCGGTGCCGATTACGATGTTTTGTCTTCATGCGGTACTGGCGCTGCCCTCCCGCCATCGATGGTGTTGCACGCCCCAGCGTTGCTTCGCATCACGCATTCCGCCAACGGCTCTGCTTCCCCCCTCTGCCATCTGCGAGTCGAGAGCGCCACAAGATAGCTTACTTATGTGCGACGGCTCTGCCCGCCTCCTGCTTGCTATGCTGTTGGAATCGTGGCCGGTTTCCCCCCCACACCCTTCACTTTCGAAACGGAGGATATCGATTGCCTTTAATCGATCAGCACGTCTTCTCTGTCGTTCGGGGGAAGCGGTACCTTGTTGTTTCACCCGAACAACGTGTTTGTGACCCGCTAGTATCTTGTGTTTTTTGTTATCGTGTGCGCGGCTGCTACAATACCTTGACCGACCGCTACACAGTAGACAGGCGTTCGATGTTGGCGTTGTTGGATAGTCAGGAAGACGTTGACACGGGCGGCAATACTGCTGTACATGGAAGTTGGCGACGGAGCACGTCATATCATTAGACGCGAGGCCAACCTAGATACGTTAGACACAATGCTAACTAGATGTGTACGTGCGTGTGCAGTTTTTTTTGTGACTCAGGCAACGAAACGTGGTAAACGAACGTGTGTTGCTCTGTAATATTTTCATATTCCGGTGTAGGTAGACTACTGTAGAATATCTGCACGAGCAACCGACTAAAGGCTCACACACTGCAACTGCTGCATCTTCTACAAATGGACTTATGTGTACACGCGGCGGTCTCACTTGTCACTTGAGGGAATGGACTTGGATCCAAGCGAAGTTGTGATGTATCTATACGAAGTGTGATTCGCACAGATTTGCGATAAATGATGGTGTACGTGACCAAACGGAAGATTGGTCACTTGAGTATAAGAAGACGGGACTCCGTGCGGACATACAACACACGCGGTGAGGATCTCACTGCGCTGGCTCAGAAATGCACACCGTATATGACACAAGATAACTCACACCCTTGACCGATTTTCGAAGCTCGATTTCTCAACTGCAGGAACAGTCAAAGCGCCGAAAACGGCGGCGTTGAAACCGTCTCGTCGAGAGCTTTTCGAAAATGTATTATTTCGTTTATGCATCCTCTTCGTCGTGGAGTAATCGAGCTTTGAAATCGGTCCAGGGGGTGTGTTATCTTGTGTTACATACGGTAGCCCATAACAACAGTCAACGCGGAGTTGGTTGTCGATGGACGTTTATGTTAGGTGCGCGTTCCCAGCATTCCCCGTGGTTGACTTGAAATGAGTGTGGTATCGGTGTTGTCTTCGGGGATCCACAACCTTCAGTGCAGCGTGTGGCCGAGAAGGGAGCAAAACTTCAACTCACGAGCGGGTCTCCGCCCAACATGCGCGCAGAAACAAGGGAATGCTGCTGTACACTTGAAGATTCCCAGGTCTACCGTCGCGCTCACAGCTAGGCCTTTGCTCCATCGGCCCCTTTTATTTCTGTTTTTCGGCTGTTTTCTTTTTTTTTGGCCCCTGTTTTTCCTTTTTCGGCCGCCCTCATTTTTTTCCGGCCACCTCAATATTTGTTCGGTCACCACAAATTGTGCAATTTTCTTCTCGGCCGTAGCCGTACATTCATGTACGGTTCTAACATAGGCACCATCCGCAGATTTTTTTTGGGAGGGGGATGATGATGAAACATCCCCGGCTAAGGTCCGAAATTTTTATGACACATACTACCCCGTGGATGTAAATAGTAGATTCGTTTGTTTTTTTGTGCTGTTTTTGGCCGGGTTTCAACTCAGATTCGGTTTTTTACCCATGGAATTCGAAAAACACAAAACCCCGGGGATGGTCCCGAAAAATCCCCGCTTTTCAAAAGTGGTCAGATCGATCTGAAAATTTCAGGTCAGGGTAATTTTGGGGTGGGCATTACGAATCCGTGTTTGCTTTTTTTTCCAATTCCATTTTGGTCTTGCGCTACAGGCACATATTTGGCAGCATCATCTCGCTTTGAAGAAAATCAAATTATTTCGAGTTTTGTTCACATCTTCTGGGGTACCCCCCCGCCCCCCACCCCCCCAAGTTGTACCTCAAACGGGCTTTGGACCCCACCTACTGCTCCACAAGCAAAAACAAGAAGCACATCACTTAAAAACCGGCCCACCGCCCGAAACGGGCAAAAATGTTGGGCTCTTCCTTCCTACCAAGCTCTTCCCAAATCTTTGACGCAGCAGCAGATTCGCATTCTTGCCATTGTGTCCCAGTAATTCTCGTCATCTTGCATACCTTCCTCCTACTCCCGAACTGGATCCCCCGGGAGTTATCTTCGTCTACGAGCGCTACTCGAGTGTCCATGATCACCGTTTCCTTCACTTCGCCCTTTTGCAATGCGGGAAGGAGACGTGGGTACGTCTTGCTGACGTAGCACTGCTCATACTCGCAACGCTGGCACGCCAAGCAGAAGCACGACGCCAGCCGAGTCCTGAGCCTGTACATCCGTTTCACCTTTCTGCAAGTCACGTCTTCCTCCCCCGACACCGGATAACAGACTTGCGGGAAAAATGGGAACGTACCCAAAAATGAGAATGGGCGTTTGTTTTTAGAAAGCAAACCACGCCTTTGCAACTCCCCCCATAAAAGTTGACAGTGCTGTAGGTCTTTACAGCAGCTTTCGAATGAGCTGTTGCTCAAGCTGTATGTTCTCGGCATCGCCGAGGTAGCCAGCATCGCGAGAATTCAGGTCGAAACCAGTACGAATCGCTTTTTGCGCCCGTGAGAAGGCGTGATGTGGAGCATGGCGGTTCTGATGAGCTCATCTCACAGCTGGGGCGAAGGGGTTTCGCAGGATAATTTTGGTTCTGTGATACACCCGATGGTTCTGAAGAAAAACGCCAATTCTCATCTTTGGATACGTTCCCATTTTTCCCGCAAGTCTGTTAGCGATGAATGAACCTCAGACCAACCAAACGTTCCCCGCTTNGGTTCTGAAGAAAAACGCCAATTCTCATTTTTGGGTACGTTCCCATTTTCCCCGCAAGTCTGTTGGATCCTGCAACCCAGCCCCCTTACCCTTCCATCTGCTCGCTGCTGCACCCAACACCTTGACTTCCCGCAACCTGCTCTTCTCTTGACTCGACAAGCTACCCCGCCCCTCGCGCTTTCGTGCCAGCTTGCAGTCATCTTCGTGCCCCTCGGTCGTGGTGGACCCATCCCACTTGGGAGTGTTTGCTCCCGCGAAGTGGTACATGTCTCGTGTACCCTCTATGCCTGCCAGGACCGAATTTGGCCGATATATCTCCTTCTTGCCGATAAACTCGACGTGCACCCTCCGCATGCGGTACGGAGACCACTTCGCGAAATACTTCCACATACCCTCCTCCCTCTCGCTGCCTGCCTTCTCCCGAAAGAAGCTTCGCACAAAGCTGACCACCCCGTCCGCCCCCATGATTCGCTTGCCAAATCTCTCCCNTTTGGCCGATATATCTCCTTCTTGCCGATAAACTCGACGTGCACCCTCCGCATGCGGTACGGAGACCACTTCGCGAAATACTTCCACATACCCTCCTCCCTCTCGCTGCCTGCCTTCTCCCGAAAGAAGCTTCGCACAAAGCTGACCACCCCGTCCGCCCCCATGATTCGCTTGCCAAATCTCTCCCTCCTCTTTATGGCGTTCTTTGCCACTCCGCCAATCCCAACATGGCAACCTTTGAAGTGAGATGTGGCCGCGAAGTGGTGGTCGATGAAGAAGCCGATTTGCCGCACGCTGTCGGCCAAGAAGCGGAAATTCCGCCTTCCCTTGTACTGCTTCCCGCATCCATCCGTGAACATGTGAATCCGGGGCGTCCGGCCTTCTTTCCGGGCGGCAGCTGTTGCTTCGCTCCCATCTCCACGCAGTTAGTAGTCCGCCATCCTGGCCAAGCCGTGCAGGTGGAAATCGCAGTCATGCGCCATGTCTTCAGATGCAAAGATCCATGTTTCCGTCACGTGCAACCTGCCACCCCCCACGTGCGTCTGCGGGTTGAACCAGGCACTTGCANTTTCCGGCATCCATCCGTGAACATGTGAATCCGGGGCGTCCGGCCTTCTTTCCGGGCGGCAGCTGTTGCTTCGCTCCCATCTCCACGCAGTTAGTAGTCCGCCATCCTGGCCAAGCCGTGCAGGTGGAAATCGCAGTCATGCGCCATGTCTTCAGATGCAAAGATCCATGTTTCCGTCACGTGCAACCTGCCACCCCCCACGTGCGTCTGCGGGTTGAACCAGGCACTTGCACCGCGTCGAGAGGAAGAGCGTGCGGCCAGGGTCAGAGAAGTCGTCGCTCTGTTGCTCCTTAAAGCTCTTGTAGGACGCCCAGTTGAGAAACTTGGCGTTCACCGCGTCGCCCCCGCCCGGCTCGGTGAGCTGCCGCCGAGGGTGGCGGTGAACTGTAGGAGACTTACTCGCCTTCCACATGTCGCGCTCAGCTGAGTTGCCATGCTGGCGTGACACCTCGTCCGTGTGCCAGTACTGCCTCATCAACTCCAGCAGCTCTTCGCTGGCGGCATTGCTTTGCTTAGCTCGGGGCCAAAACCAGTAGACACCGCGTTTTATCGCCTCGGTTGGATCAAGATCGGACAGTAAATTCTCGGCACGCTCCACCGCGGAGTTGAAGGCGTGCTGGCGAACCTCCAGCGCCTTTGCCCTACGTGCTGCCGACAACGATGGAACCTCGTCTACGCCGTCCACAGGAAAGACCGCAGCGGTCAGGATCGTTTGCAACGTGCGGGTTCCCTCCTTGGTTCTACGTTGCTTTGCGCCTGCTCGATTGCTCGCTCCAACGAGACTGCTGTGCTGACCTTTTCTTACAACCCTCGCAAGCGTTTACGGGTGTCCTTCGCAAACGTCGAGCCGATTTTTTCCACGTGTTTCAGCGCGTTGTCATACCCCATGCTGTCCATGGACGCGAGAAACGTTTCCGTAGACTGCTGGCGCCAGTCGACCGGCGTCGTCTGTGTGCACACATGACGAACGAGGAGGCGGCGGTTGCGACGTTGCGCAACGCAATAATACACAAGCGCAACGCACGACTGATGGGGAGACCATCTGCACACACAAAATTGGGCGCTTAGTTTCCGTGGGAGCTGACATAGACGAGCTCTCGCTGTAGAACTACGCGACGTTTCATGCAACTCGATCCTCTCGGTGGAACTAAAAACCCCTCGGCGCAATTATTCGTGTGTCGGCGAAGTTACCGCATGCGTTGATTGATGAGTGCATTGTAAGTAGACCTCGACAACTTATCTGCTGTGCTGTTGATTGACTGAAATCTCTAGCGACATTAGCATCTCACCGGCTCAGCTGGCTCAATTGTCACCACCCTAGATAGGGTTCTCCCGACACCCCGCAAAGCCATGATAACAGGGTTGGTGACGGCGCTATCTGCTGTCCTCCCAACGCCTCCGCTGCTGCTGCCACCACCAGACCGCTGCTGCGCCTTTTGCCATTGCTCGCGCTTGGTCTTGAGGACCTTGTCAGTCAGCTCCTTGGCCTTTTCGCTGACCGCCTCTTCGGTGTTCTTCACGTAGCCACTGTAGGTTTGTGAGCTGCTGTTCTTGTGCTTCGAGTCAACGAGTGTCGCGGTCACCAGCACCCCGCGTTCGGAGACAAGCCTCCAACTGAGCTTGACGACGTGCTTGTCTTTTCCAAAAAGGACTGTGCGTTCACACGCACCTGGTTTGGTCACAGCCGCCGCTAGTCCAGCTGCCGCTGGCCCAGCTTTGGCTGAGCTCATGATCGAGGCTCTGCCCCCTGAGTTTTGGTCTGAGCAAGTTTCATGGCTATACTGCCGTGGGCGCCTTCCGCGCTAGAGTTTTTTTTTTTTTTTCTCCCATCATTGGACTCTGTCGTCTGCCCCTNAAAGGACTGTGCGTTCACACGCACCTGGTTTGGTCACAGCCGCCGCTAGTCCAGCTGCCGCTGGCCCAGCTTTGGCTGAGCTCATGATCGAGGCTCTGCCCCCTGAGTTTTGGTCTGAGCAAGTTTCATGGCTATACTGCCGTGGGCGCCTTCCGCGCTAGAGTTTTTTTTTTTTTTTCTCCCATCATTGGACTCTGTCGTCTGCCCCTCTGGCCCCTATCCTCCACTTCTACTAGCTAGACGACCCGACCGGGGTCACATAGGAGGGGGGGGTTGGACCCCCTCCTGCGGCTCATGCCTGAGGTATTTTAATCGCGAGAAGGGTACAGCAATCCCTTCCCTCGCGACTTACGAAGTCGATNTGAAGCAAAACGGCCGATGGAGGACAGGCCTAATGTGCGAAAAAATATATATATTTTTTTTTCGCGCCACTTTTGGACGAAAATAAACGCGGCGGGATTCATTTCACAGGGAAGATCAACTCGGAGCGACATGTACACCCCGCCAATCGACTCCGCTTGGTCGAATTACCCATAGAGGAACTTACTGCAGGGTCTCCCGAACCCACCTCGACGAGATACTGCTCATTCCTTTCCCGTCGCCTGGACGGTGGCGGCTGCTGCCATCATGCTGAGGCGCGATATCAAAATTGCGGGAGAAGCGAGGGTCATCAAGCACAGATGGCGCATGCACACCAGGGGCTATCAGTTGACCTCCACGCTGCTGCAGAAGGGCACTGAGATTGCGGCTACCAAGGCAATAGGCTCTGTGGTGGATGACCTCGAGGGCGTTGTACATATGGCCCGAGAGCATGTTGATGACCTCCGAGAACGGGCTTCTAAACGTCGCAAGAAGAAACCGAAAGGAGCCCCCACCAGATCTGCTGCCGCTGCTGCGGTGGCTGCTGCTGCTGCCGAACGANACCCACCTCGACGAGATACTGCTCATTCCTTTCCCGTCGCCTGGACGGTGGCGGCTGCTGCCATCATGCTGAGGCGCGATATCAAAATTGCGGGAGAAGCGAGGGTCATCAAGCACAGATGGCGCATGCACACCAGGGGCTATCAGTTGACCTCCACGCTGCTGCAGAAGGGCACTGAGATTGCGGCTACCAAGGCAATAGGCTCTGTGGTGGATGACCTCGAGGGCGTTGTACATATGGCCCGAGAGCATGTTGATGACCTCCGAGAACGGGCTTCTAAACGTCGCAAGAAGAAACCGAAAGGAGCCGCCACCAGATCTGCTGCCGCTGCTGCGGTGGCTGCTGCTGCTGCCGAACGATGTCCAAGGCTAGGAGCCGATGCACGTCTCGCTCGCTCCGATCCGCTTGAGGCGCTTCGTTTCAGCGGACCGAGGAGAAGCCCACAACCCACGACGACTCCTCCACGACAACGGCGAATGGTGAGTTCAGAGCGGTGTACGGCAAGAGATAGGGTGATATCTTGCGTATTTTTCAAATGTTTGAATTTCCGTGTAGGCTAGACCACTTTTGTATTTCCGGTATATTTCCCCTGCTCTCCATCTTCCCACGAAACTATTGAGTCCCATCCTTACATTTCCCCCCTCTCCCGTCAAAACTGCTTCAAATTTTATCGTGATCAAGCAGGCTATCGACCGGCACCGCGACGGGGTGAAGCAGATTGTGTTAGAGGATGATGTGTTGAAGGAGGAGCTGAGGGAGTTACTGTGTGTCGGAGAACTTGGAGAGGCAGCGGCGACGAAGGCTGCTGTCGATGCGGAGAACATTCGCGCACTGGTCGCCTCTATAGAGACGCTGAAGCTACACTCCCACAGCAACATCGGCCGCGCTGCCTACAACACCGTCATTGCCGCAGCTGCTGGAGCGGAGCACACGTGCGATCCTGATGACCCTTGCACCCCGGATGAGCCGTGCGCACCTGCTGAGCCGCAGGGTGCCGTCAGCCTTGCCGCGCGAGCACAGGGTCTCGGTGTGAGAGACGGCACGTTCCGTGCAGCGCGTACCCGGATGCACAGAACTGACCACACCATTCCTTCACAGGAAGCTTTGGAGAAGGGGAGATACCTCTGGGCTCCTCGCAAGGGAAGGAGCGACAAGGTGGGCAAACGTGTCATGGGTTTGGCGAGGAGGTTCTGGCACTCTGACGATATTTCTCGTGCGTCGGGAAACTCCGGTAAGCGCTGTCAAATTTTGTCGTTGTACAATTAATTGTAGATCGGGGTATCTCCTTTGCCGTTTTTTGTCGACGTGACGTATCATCTACACTTCTCTGTACCCCTTTAGATAGCTTCACTATTGCTGCTACACTGCACACTGCTGTTCTTTCGTACACCCCTGTAGGGACGAAAGCTATGTGGAGGCCGTCCAAGAAGGCAGGGGAGGAGTATCACCCCCGTAGGCAGCTCATGGTTGCGGGGGACCAAGTATGGCGCAAATTCCTGAAGTGGCCGGAGTACTTGGGGCTTAAGGCGGAGCTGCTGAGGGAAGACTGCAGCTTCGCGGACCCTAGGCGGACGCCGTTCCTCTCGACGCGGTGTGGGTGTTTAGGAGAGGAGACATGAGGGGAGAGCTCCGTTTTTTTAGTGACCGTTCCAGCGTAATGGACTCTTCTGCTGTGTCACCGCCCCAGGAGGACGGCCTCT